CCTTTAGTAAGTGCCTCGTTCTTGGGAAGGCTCTTTCCAGGTAGGAGCAAAACTGGCCGTCAGCATCTCCAGGCTTGCATTTTACCTACTTAGCAACTTCAGGGGGAGAGAGGCTCCCTCAGCAGTGCCAGCCAGGGAGGCTGATTCTGATTGGTCCAGCTTGGTCACATGCTCACCACTGTCCTAGTCGCTGTGGCCCTGGAGATGGGGCTAATTGGCCACACCTGGGCACGTGCCCCACCCCTGAGCCACTGAACCACGTGGACTCTTAATGCAAATTAAGTCAATCTGTGATCCCAGCAGAAGAGGACGTGGATGCTGGGCAGGCGAAAAGAGCAGGTGGCCACGGCTCCAATCACAAGCCTGCAGGGCACGAGTGCTTTGCTCAGCCAAATATCTGCATATAGTTTGGGGCAGGCGGAGAAGGGGAGCGGGGGTGGTCATTTCTGACAAATTGTTTTTCTGTGTGAACTCCCCTTGGTTTGGCAGCACAATGCTGTCAGTACAGGAGCACAGAAACCACCTCAGATGCTGCTCTGAGCATATAAAGAATTATTTCAGTTTGACACCAGTTTTGGTGATTAATAAGCTTTGGCCTGTGGTCTCATTTTGTGACTCAAACTTAGAATGGATGAAACACCTCTCCCTGCTCGTGACCAGGGTGGCAGCTGAGCCCTGCTTAGGATTAGCGTGGTGTAAAGGGCATGGTCAGTGCTTAACAAGAGCTCAGCCTGCAGGGCTCTCAAGGAGATGAAGCAGTTTTTAAGTTGGTGAAACTCACGTTGACTTTCACACTTCTGCGGACTGGAGGTATTCAGGGCTGAGTCACGGCAACCGGTGGGGAATGAGAACACGGAATAGGAACAACAAGGTCTGTCTGGTTTCAAAGAGCTTTTTGGATCAACATTGCTACCATCAAGCTATCACTCGGGGAACACCAGCCGTGAGCAGGAAATGGGATGACAGGGCCAAAGCAACCTGCAGAAACGAGATCACATCCTTAGGGCTGACATTCCTCAGAACAGAAAGAGGTCTAGAGGGCGCTGAGAACGTGACAGGACACTTAACGTGACCTGGACAACAAAACACTCAGCATGCAGGACTTCAGAGCCCCCAAGACCCACAAGTACCTATCACCAGAGTCAGCTGGCCTGCTGGCTGCTAAGCTACTGTGGGTCCGAGAGGTGGTGAGGTGGTTGGAAGTTTCCTCGATTCTCCCCTAAAGAAGTTGCTTCTGGCTGCGAGAGTACAGAGCTGTCGTTACCCTCCTGTCCCAGGATATGGGCCTTGGGACACCCACCTGCTGCTTGTGTGTGTGGGACAGGACCAAGACGTTGAGGGCTAGGAAAGCAGAGTGCTGCAAAATAGGTGCGTGGACTGCCGTGGCCTTCAGGTCACGGTGAGAGGGCAGATCCAGGATTCTGGGCTGTGCTTCCTGAGGTGTGAATACTAGAGGGGTCAGGATTTCAGTTTTCTTAGTTGTTTCAGCTGGACTGTGATGCACTGTGTTCTTCTAGAACATTTGACACCAGCTTGTCTCTGGTCTAGGAGAGTCTTCACAGCAGGAAGTGGTGACTTTGGGAACCCATAACCCTACCCCTAGGGGACACGATTACACACACACACACACAAAGCTGACAAAGAAGGGTCAGTGGCTTACTGTGTACAGAAGACGCTTTAATACACGCAGGTGCAATGACAGCTCAGCAGAAGCACGTATTTCCCATCCAAGGGCTGCCCGTTCACAACAGCACACATAACTGGAGTCTGGGTTTTTCACATCAGTTTTCTTTGTATGACACACTGAGATTGTAAGAAACAGGAATCACAGGCAGACAGTTTCTAGGAAACGGGGATTTGTGTCGACAGAATGCAAACACCAAAACAACTCAACTGTGTTCTTCGTGCTTTTCATTCAGCCTTTGAAGCATTAAAGCCGTCGCATTACTGCATCAGCCAAAAGCAGCAACACTAGTCCCTGTGAGCTCTGTGACCCCCTTTCTCCCTGTGTTAAATATTCATCCGTACAGTCTAGAAAAACCATGATGATAGTCTAGTTGTTTCTGTCCCATCAGAAGCAGCCTAACCACTCAGTAGTTAAATTACTCTAATTAACTGAGCAATGCTCTGCGCAGTTTGACATTGATTTCCTGCCCCAGCAATGCCCTCGGCTAAAACCAGTGCTGCCATCTGGGCTGGAGGCCATTAGCAAAGTATTACCTTCAATGGAGTTTGGGTCATGGTCAGGGTCCCGGGAACGCCCCACCACCCATTTGCAGTCCCTGTGAACGCGCGGGGGTGGGCGGCCCCACTGCAGCGCCAGAGCATTTGAACCAGGAAGCTCCTGGTCTTCAAAACCTGCTCAGACTTTTCAGATGCTCCACACAGGTAAAGGAGGGAGCTGTGAGGAGAGAGAGTTTCCAGAAATACCAGACAAAAGGATGTAAGAACCACCCTATTTTCTAAAATTCTTAGCCCCGAGCCTTGGTTGTCACAAGCCTTGGTGAGTTATGTTCCACCAAGCAGGGTAGTAAACTTTAGCCCAAGTCACAGCATTAACCAAAGGATCTGATTTCGATGACTAGCAATCACAGTAAGGATTTAGGGATCCTTTTATTTTTTAGAAAACTTTTTTGTCCTGATGCCCAAAATGTCCAGTGGTGGGAGGTGCTTAGAATCAGCTGTTCTCCACCAACGGCTGTAATGCTGCGGCTTTTCTAACCTGAAACACATTGTGAGTCTGTGGTCTGATTAGGACTGGAAATCAGTCTTCTCTCTGAGGCTGTGCTCTGTCAGTGCACCCATGGTTCCTGAAAACCCGTAAAGGTGCCTTAGACACAGAAGCAGGTCATTGGAAGTAGAAACTAGGGATTCAACTTATAGAGGCTGTATTGGGTTCCTATCCCATTATAAACTCTGTAGATGTGGAACAGAGCAGAGGATTAACTCCCATCCCAATGGAGATCCTACCAATCCCGTTGCACTTGGGTGTTTCCTAAAGTCTCTCCTTTGGGATGATACATACAAGGTCATAGCAAGAGGAGGAGCCAGATGGCTGGAGCGATGAGTCAACAGCACATCAGAGCTTGAATTGAAACAAATGAAAGACGGAAGTTGGTAAACACGTAAGTGGCTGCTGACACTCCTGGTTACCAGCCTGGAGGAGGATCTGGTCACCTCCTTATAGCTCTTCTCAACCCATCCCTCCACTTTGGGAAATTGAGTCAGAGTATATACTGTTTGGAGGAAAATCAGCACAGACAAATAATGCAGGAGATATGTAGAGAAAAGGAATTAAACAACACAAGAGCTGCTGTTTACTTCTTAACAAAAATACGGTTACTCTTAAACAGGCACTGTTTCACAGCTCATCAAGGCCAGAAGCTCTGGGCCTATGAGTTGAGCGAGGAGAAAACCATAAATGCTGAGTTAAAGTTCCGCACTGGCTTTCTCCCCCTTTTTGGTTGCCCCACTGCAACCTCCCTTCTGGGAAAGTCCTTTGTAGCTGGCGGCCGTTTCTGTTACTTCTGCCCATTTCCACCTGGCTGGTTTCCCAACTGGGTGCCAGTCTGGTCTCCCGCGTTGCCAGCTGACTGCCATCTCGGTGAGGCCCGTCCTCTGCATAAGTAAGGATGAGGTGCGGTGATCTGAGTGGCCAAGAGTCAGCCCCTCATTCTCCCCGTTCATTCTGGACCACTCGGCAGCGCCTGCAGGTTGCCAAGAAGAGTTTCTCTGCAAAGATCTGGGCATCAGGGGAGTGGAGTGAACATGCCTCACTTGGGTGAACTGAACTTTGTGTTCAGCAAATACATAAATAAAACAGAAAGAAAAAGAGTGAAATATCAAGCAGATTTTAAATAAGCAATCCTGCCCGCCACTCTCATCGTAAGTGCAAGTCAGTACTGCTGCTCCCTTAGTCAGCCTCCGTGACCTTGGACCTCTCAGAGGTGTGCGGACCCTGTGGTTCCAGGTGTGGGTCCAGTCTCTGTAAGTGTGTACAATCTCTTCATCATTTTAGTTCACCTGGAGTCAGCCAAAAATGAGACCAAACATTAAAGACAAAACGAACCCCCCAAAATGACCCATTTCATTAGCAAAGGGTCTCGTGATACTGGGCTTCTTTCAGAAAAGATACTCACTTTATGTTATGTATAATTAAAAGGATTTTTCAAGGGTAAATTTTACTATCATCCCGAATTCCCCTCATGCTCGAACTTCGGCTGTAACTCCCACATAAGGTACACCCTCGGTGTACTACAGGGCGGCTGTGTTTTCAACGTGGCGATATTCTTTTCTGATGCTCTCCAGACACAGGTCTCTGACAGTCTTAAGGGGACAACTAGCTCTCAAGGAACATGCTTCTAGAAGAAGGCAAATAGTGTGCTAATAAATATTCCACAACTGGCTTGCTCAGAAGGGGAAAGAAAAAAGGCCCTGATTTGTAGCATGTCAGTTTCCGTGGTATAAGTACTTCCGCCGTCACCAATTTCAGCCTCCCCACTTCACATCCCTGTGCAGGGAATTGGAACAGATGTGCACGGCCGGCTCTTTATGAGCTGATACAAGCTGCTGTGGTGTCCTGACCCCAGCACACTACCGGAAGGTCCTCAAAAATCTGTGTCACTGCTAATCTCTCCTACTCATTTCTCCTTGAGTGGATTCCTTACTCCTGTTCAATTGGGTTTGGGGATTCTGATCTCTGTGAAGTTTTCTAGCTCTGAAGAGCCTCACCCCATCACCCACCTCTGTCCATTTGTCACAGTGTAATTCAAAGGAGTGGAAAAATAAATCTACATCCAAATCTTCCTTTCAAAATAAAAACAAAGGCTGTTGAGAAGAACAGGATGATGGGAGGAGAAGTCAGAGTCGAGCTCTAGTTTTAACCTCTCATGTCAGAGGAATAAACTGAAGCAGAGAAAGCAGTTCAGTGACTTGCTCAAGGTCACACAGTGGAGACACGAGTTCCCAGAAGCCCAGGGACTCGTCACTGTATCCCGCTGCCCCCTTCCAAAGGTATTCATTCAGTGTCTCAGGTGTGTGAGGTGTGGAGAGGTGAGAATCACTGTCAGCTCCTCCTGACATGGAAATCAGAAGCTCCTGGCCCAAGGTGCCAGGAAGTGTCCCAGGAAGAAGATGTTGACTTCACAGGTTGTTATTCCGGCTGTCCTCTTCCTGGGGGTCTTTGGTTTGTTCCAAGGCTACATTTGCTTGTCTTGTATTAAAATCCCTTTTTACTCTTAAAAGGAAAAAAAAATAAGGTGGGTTTATTCACTGAAGTGAAAAAGATACAAGCTTTTGAAATGACAGCATTAAGCCCAGCAATTTATAAAGAGGCATGAGCCAGGGTAACCTTAAAAAACACTGACTTTAAATATTTGTAATTCCCCATTCTTCCGCCCTTCCCATCAACAGAAACCTGAAGCCAAGCTATTTTATCTGTTACAATTGTTGAAATCTCTTACAAGAAAAGGTTTCTGAATTTTCCAGATTTTCTGCATCATTTTTGTGATGAGAAAGAATAAAAAATATATTAAAGCTTTGCAAGTACAATCTGGCTGAAACACTCCATCATCGGCTGAGCAGCTCTTCTTCTGTGAGTTACTTACTTTTCTCTGTTGAAAATGATGAACTCCTTCTGGACAGACTCGAGGTGCTTTTGAAGAACGCACGTCTTCCAAGTGGACGTTGGAAAGAAAGAAAGCGGTATAGTTAGCAGGCCATAAAGATCGTCAAACAGCCAATAACCTATTGAATGTCTGTTAACTGAGTGGCCCAAATCGATGAAGACTAGTGTATCTTCAGTGTGGATTGTATCTGAAAGTTTACTGCAGGAGTGAGACCCCAACCAGATTAACAGAGGGGCAAATAATAGGAAAGAAGCAGAGGAGAAGATACGTCAGCTCTCTGCTCCCCACAATGAGGCAGCAAGGAAGACCTGGGTCAGGGCTTCTCAGCTTAACGTTTTTTAGCTGTTGAGCCCGAGAAGAAACCACAGCTTCAAGGCAGGTGGGGACCAGGGTTTACGGAGTTGGCCACCTACTTGCTTCTCATCTCCGGGCCCTCATGTGAAAGGTCTGGGCGTTCTGAAACCAAGTCCCCTAAAACCGAGTTCCCCTGCCAAGTTTATGGTTACCCTCTCTATCCAAACTTTAGTCCCTTTTCTTGTCCTGCCCCTGTTCCCCTCAGGATTGAGGGGTATCAAAGAGAAAGAGGGACTGAAACTGAGCAGGACCCTGTGGGGCTTTCCCAGGTCCAAAAGTCCCTCTGTGTCCCCAGTTTCTTGTTTGTAGACGAAAACAAAAAGGCTTTAGTCTCCTAGGTCTTCCTCAAATTCCAAAGGGCAGGCTTAAGCTGTTAACAGTTAGGGTGACAGAGTCACAGGACTCCTAGGTCCTCCTGCAAGGATACAGGTAACAATCTGATGCATATCTTTGAGTTGTTCTGCAGAAACTAAGACCCACCCCCCAACCAGTGGAGGATGGTGACTGTGTGCTGAGCACACGCGCTAGACCCCAGACTGGTTGGAAACAGAAAGTTGAGATCCCTGAAACTTCACTCTGTTATCTGACCACCAACCAATGAGAAGAAAGTCCAGGAGCTGATCATGCATCCACGACCCTCTCCCCTAACCCTGTCTTTAAACACTCTTGCCTGAACGCCATCAGGGAGCTTGGGTCTTTTGAGTACAAGTGGCCCGTTCTCCTTGCTTGGCCCGTGTATTAAACTTTCTCTGCTCCCAACTCTGATGCTTAGGTTGGTTTGGCTTCACCGTGCATCCAGCACCAAACTTGGGTTCAACAACAGTCCTACTTGGATTTAATGACTATCCTACAGACGTGTCTTCACACTGAATTCGGCTGGAACGTTCCCCTCAACAGCTGCACTGGGGTCGATTAACTACACTTCAGTTGTGGGGAGCAGCCTTCTTCATCTGTGACTTTCTCACTGATTTGCAGAGCATTAGCTTGGACACTTAGCTGCCTGGTTGTCAATATCTTTTGATGACTTTTCTGTCATAATGAGAAAGTTTAACCTCAAAGAAAAAGGGTAACAATCATCAGGCCCAGGACAATGTCAGCCCAGACCAAGTGTTTGAAAAGTCTGCAACAGAAAACACCCAAATCACTTCTGATGAATGCCACTCTTCTCTGGGGGGAAAAATCATTCATTCATTTGGATTTTAAATCCAGGAATTTGAAAATCCTAAGTCCTCAAGTACTGGAGAGTTTTTTTTTTCCTTTTCTGAACAAATATTTAAGGGACAGGAGAATAAAAAAAAGAGAAGGAATTTCAGAGAGGAGGGGAGGGGAGCAAAACAAAAGAGAGAAGGAAGACTCTACACCTCGCTCTTACCCCCAGCTGGGGTACTCGGAACCCTGAGCGTTTCCAGGATCAGCCACTGGGACATGAAGCTACGGGGTAAACACGATCTGATAGAGCTTCTTGGAGTAGCAACTTTACACCAAGATTTTAGAAAAAATATTATTTTCTTCTTTTGTTTCTATTTTTTTGTATTTAGAAAAAATATTTTTAACATTAAAATATTACACAAAAAACAAAATATACAATGTTTTAACATATATAATATTTTGTGTTTACATATTTTATATATTTATATATATTTATATATTTTATATACATGTATTTCTATATACATTGTATTTCTATACATTTTAGAAATACATAAAATATATGTATATAATATAAACATATATAAGTATATACATATATAAACATAAAATGTTATATAAACTATAACACGAAAAATATTTAAAATATTAATATTTAAAATATTTTAACATTAAAAATCACGATGATAGTCAAATAAAATGCAGATATCCACATGTGTTTTTTCCTGTATCACAGAACTCTGTTTTATTTAAACAAAGACGTGAAAGGCACACTCAGAGATGAGGCTGTGACACGGAACTGCAGACCCCATGAGCCCCGCCCCAGGCCCCAAAGGGCTCACAGGCAACATGTTCTGTTTCCTCTCCTTTGGGAGGAAAAATGTAAGCAGCACAGCTCCACGGACTAGTCAACAGGAGTAGCCAGAAACAGAGTGTGAGGGCAGGAGCGGGGAGCAAACAGGATGGGGGGACTAGTGGGTTGTCCGTGACCGAGAAGGGAAATGTTGGATAAAAATCTTAGAATGTGCGTCTCAGGGATGAGAGAGAAAATAGTGATCAGACTGGTATCAGTGGAGATGGATTCAGAAATGTCTGACGGGTTTAGAGCAGGTGGAGATCTCGGGAGGCAGAAACAGAGGACTTAGAGCATTTGCTCCCACAGCAGGCAGACTGGGTGGTGTGCCAGTCTTTTTGGTTCTTTAAAGGGGTTGACAAGCTGAGAGGGATTAAAGTGGAGAATATTCTGGAAGCAAAAAAAACAACAGAGACGTCTACGGTGAGCATGAACAAAAGAAGAATGAAGTTAGAGGTCAGGGGGGAGGTGGAAACGTTAGCTATCTTGATTGTGGTGGTGGCTCCGTGGGTGTGTACATCTATCAAAATACATCCCATTGCACATCTGAAATATGTGTAGTTTGCCGTACAGGAATCATGCCATTAAAAAAAAAGGAGGAAGTAGGTTGGAAAAGTAAAACATAAAGCAGCTAAGTTTTGGCAGACATGTTACACGTTCTAATTGACTCAGATCAGTCTATGAAGTTAGTACCAATACTAACTCCGTTTTGTAACTGAGGAAACCAAGACACAGGGGGAAAGAACCTTAGCTTTTACTCGATTTAATCACATGCTGGATTCTACAGCTTTGGGTGGTAACCTGAGCGGCACACCTGAAGAATGCTTAAAAATCCTGCTGCCCAGGCCACACCCCCAGATTCAAATGAATGAATAAACATGATAATAATATAATCACTTGCTAAGACTGACCCTCACATTTTAAAATCCTTGAGTAGAGAGAAAGTGCTATTTTGAGATTCACCATCTTTCTGATGCTTCTTTGGGAGAAGACTAACTCTTTGTTTTGAAGCAAAATCCTTTTTATTTTTAAACTGAGGCTCTAAGATTAGGAGAAATTGGAGTAAAACGGTGGAATAGGCAGCTCTGGGCTCCCACCCCTCAAATGAAACAGACAAATTCAAGCAGAAACTGTCACAGCCAACATCGTCAGAACTCTGGAAAGCAATCAAAGGTTTATAGCAACCAAACAAACACTGAATCAAGAAAGAAACAACTTAAAAATGGTTATGCATATTTTACCATGATAAAAAAAAGTTACAAACAAGATGAAACAAGCAAAAAGATTAAGAAGATGTAAACTCTGATTAAGGATGTAAAGACCTCTATATCATGGGCAGAGCTGCTGCTTGGCGAGTGATTCTGAAGTTGATATGAGACCTGGGAGGAAGAGGAAACTGCTTTTTTTCTTCTGCTTAGTATTAGAAAATGCTGGGGGTTCTGTACTGTGGGTCAGTGGCTCATGGCCTTTTCCAGCAGGGGAGGGAGTTTGCCCCACAACCGGGTGGCTGGGTGCAGGTTAGAACTAGGACGGTGGAGGACCAAAGGGAGACGTCCCATGGGTGGAACTTGATTTTGTAATTCTAAGAACAGCAATGACCAGTCGACCAGTTGACACTGTTTAGTTTTAAACTTTTCTTCTTTCAATGAATTGATCAAAGACTTGTTGAGCCTCTACTGTATTAGAGGCACTCTTGGGGTACCATGAAGGCAATGTGGGTAAGACGGATCTGGTCTTCACCCACAAGAAGCATTCACTTCAGTGGGCCAGAAAAATAAACGTAAACAAACATATAAATAAAACATTTAAAAACCATGTTAATGTTGCAAAGGAATAAAAAATAAGGGCTGAGAAGGAGAAAGATGGTGAGGGGACCTCATCTTTGCTACATTTAAGGGTGGCATTTAAGGAAGGGAGGAAACCCCTAAGTGAAAATCCAAGAGGAGAACCTTACAGGAAAAGAGAACAAGTGCCCTGAAGAAGGACAAGACTTGCAGTGCTTGAGGGTCGGACACCTGCAGGGCCAGTGTGGCTGGAGAGATCTGAGTGAGTCAAGAATGGTCGAGTATAAGGATGGTGCCGGGAGAGGCAGACAGACCACATGGAACACGGTAGGCATGGCAAAAAGTTACAAATTGCTATCATCTCTAACACTTCAGAAAACTTACAACACAGACGATGTCTGTCTCTCCATGTGGGGGCCTGTTAGCAGAGGAGTGGGCACAGGCAAGCTCTCCAGGGGCATGGGCCTGGAGAAGCCAGTTGGTTATGATATGAAGAAGAACAGATCATTAGCAGGAAGAGAGTTGAAGCGAAAAACAACAGGCAAGAGGGGTCTGTGGCTCAGCTAAGCATTCCTCGGAGGGCCCTAGGAAACACTTATGGGTGGGAATCTGTCAAGAGGCCAGTTCTGTGGACAAGCAGGATGTGGACATTGGTTACTCGACCATTAAAGGGCACAGTGGCCCCTGAGGACTAGGGAAACCGGGGACAGTGAAGATACGCATTTGTTTGCACAGCTATTTTCATCACAAGAGTATGCGTTCTTCCAGAACAGAGATGTCACTGAATGCAGGAATTACATCGCAAATTTATCTATTTTCAGCGTTGAGCACACAATGTGGCAGATAACAGGGATTCAATCAAAGTAGCCTAAATAAATGTATGGAGGGAGGGAGGGATAGATGACCGTTCGTTGAGTGGGTACGGAGGTGGGTGGGTGGATGATGATGTGGATTAATGGATGACCATTAGCAGCCAAGTGGATATTTATTCCTTCACCATCATTATAATACATAGAACCACATGTGTAAAATCCTGCTGAGTCCCTGCGAGCTACTATACTAAAATCTGAGATCTTTAACTGATAGAGAATAATACTGTCAGTTACAAAATTAATTTGAATCAGCCTGAGATCCAGCAGTAGTGCTCAACCACATGGAATTCTGTGTTTTCTGTGAATAGATAGCACAAGATTTTGCTTCTGGCAAAGACCAGACACTCCCTCTAGGGCTGGCTGCTCCCCGTGACTCCTTGATGGGCGGGGGCCCAAAACACCCCTGCCTTGTACTCTGGGACCCGCCCACTGCCCGCCCTTCTAGGGGTGGTCACCTGGCCCAGGCTTGGCCAATTAGAATCTCTCCTAGGAGACAGCAAATTTTAAAGGGAGAGGACAACAAGTGAATCAAGTTAATGGCAGAGATCTGGGGGGGAAGGTTCAGGCTTGCAATGTTGCTGGAGGCCCACAGAGCTGCCCTTTCAGAAGCGGGGGTGTCCAACCCCTCCTCAGATTCCCAAAGCAGCAAAATCAAGGTGCTGGGATGACCTCCCACCAGAAGCTCCCCCAGTGAAATGCAGCGGCCATGAAGAGCCCCAGGACCCTGAGTCGGAGGGGACTGCTTACCTGGGAGGAGTCACATTTCCGCATCTCCTTCTCCTTCTTGGCCAGGCGCTTCTTCTTCTTGTGCAGAGGCTTGGACTCCAAAATCATTTCTTCGAGTTCAAAGGTGGGGTCGCAGTTCAGCCTGCCTTTCTGCAAGGAAGACAGGTTGGCTCGCTCTTTAGATTCCTGCATCTTTCTAAAAATAAAACTCGACCGAGTATGGAGACTAACCCTGAGTCCCACGGGGGCAGTCCAAGAATAACAAGCTGGAATTCCCACTCGAAGTTTTTGATAATTTACTGCCAGCATTGTTTTTCATGTTCTTTGATTTTGTAATCTGTTTATTTTTCTGAACTCTCAAGGAGCCCTTCGTGAGTTAGAAAGAAGATCAAGTTATAATTACTTTTCTAAAGTTTGAACTTTGGGGCCATGTTTCTCCAAGTGGGTTCAACGGTGGATCAGAATCTCCCGAGTTGTTTGCCCAAATTCCCAGTTCCCCAACCAGACCTCCAGAATCAGTGCTTCCGAACACCAGGGCCAGGAGACTGCATGTTTAATATGCTCCCCAGATAATTCAGATTCACAAGTAAGTCAGAATCACACAGAAAAGGCCTCTTGAGGCTGCACTGATGGATGGCTCATTGCAGAGTGGCCAGGTAAGTCCCCCCACCGCTGTGCCACATGCTCACCCCTAATTCCTCCCCACTGCCTTCTCTCCACCTGTCACAGCATCTCCCTCTGCTCTTGGCACGTGAAGGATCACACCCACAGCAGACTCCTGGCTTGGGCTTAAGAACAGAAAACTGAATTGTCTAAGAGCTCATCATTCTGCCAGTCTTCCTACAACTGGACGCGTGGAATCAGGCTGTAGGGAGAGAGGAGCTAGAGGTCTCACTGGGCCCCTTGGAGGGAACTTCTGGATCTGGTTTTACCAGCGGGCTGCGGGAAGCCACGGATGTTTCTTGGCCAAGTACCTCCAGTGGGAATTACTTCCCTTTGGCTATTAGTCATAGTGAATATAGTTCCTGGCATAGACCTACCAGAGGTAGAGGGATGAATGGTAGAAATAAATACCTCACCCCAATCCCAACAGCATCCAGTCCTTGGATACTCCCAGGACTCCATGGATACCAATTTCTGCATCTTGGGAATCAGAGAAAACTTTTTTTGTAATTAACAGATTTCTGGAAATGACTATTTGTAGAATTAGGGCTTCTTTCCAATGAAAGTAAGCCGCAAAAGGTGTACGGAGCCAGAACTCCCAACACAGCCCTACACTAGAATCCCAGCTCGGCCACTTGATAGCTGGGTGACGTTTGGTGGCCAGTTTACCCTGTGTGTGCCTCAGTTTCCTCACCTGTAAAATGGGAATCCGGGCAGTCTTACAACACCTGCGTCCTTATCTAACGAGACCACGTGTATATCTGCAAACAGAGTAATATGCGTTGGATGCGAGCTACTATGGATTTCTTAGGGTTGACTTACGTTAGGAGTAAATCCTGGAATGAGCCTCTTCTGCAAAACTGCATCCCAGTTCACATCACTCATGTACGGGAAGTTCTGAATGTCAGACAAGTGAGAAAACCGTTGGTCTGGATTCAGTTCCAGAAGCTGCCGATGGAATACCAACATCAAGGTCATGAGGAAGGTCAAAAGTTGGAGGACAAAAAAATCTTACAGACTCCCTACAGATATTTTCAAGTGTAGGATTGGAGGATATAAGGCAGCATTCTCCTTCCCCAGCTGCATAAACAAGTTACACAGATGACAAGTGGCCAGAATGAACTGTAAGTTGGGTTTTGCAACGTGGTGAATGAAAACAGCTTGTCCTACTGAGTCCAACCTGCCTTTGTTTCCTGATTCCTCTACTTACTAATCATGGGCAGGTCTGTTCTCTATTTCACAAGGCTTGGCTAGGACTAAATGAGGCCATGTCCATAAAGTGATGAAGAGGTCTGTTGTTATTAGGTGGAAAATGTACATTCGTTTTTTACAAATGAAATTCATTTCACACTAAAAATTGTAGCTGTTTTTACAGCTAATCAAAATATACTGGGGTTGACACGGATAAGATGTAACTAAGGTTATTGCTCTATTTCTGGGTTTTAGGAACTAGGATTAATTTTTTTTCCCCCTTAACCACCCCACAGCCCAGACCAATAGGATATATCACTCAAGTGGGAAATACTAGTTCCATTTGAGAATGGGCATAGGGGTGACAACTGTGGGTCATCAGGGTATATACTCTTGGGGGAAGAGGGTTGTGTTGGAACTAAGGAAAATTTGCTTATGGAAAATGACCCCCTATTCTTTATCCTTGATATCACCAATGGCGATACCTCTATTCCAAAGCAGGACACTTGACCCACAGACAAGGGACACAGGCTTTGAATCCTTAGCCCCCAAAGCGTTTTTCTTTGACCGACAACAACCTGTGCAGATTTTCTCTCTTCAGAAAAAAGCCACGCCCATCTTCTTGGGCTCCTTATTCTTTCTTTCACATAATCATTCAATACACATGACTGAGCTCTTGCTACCATTGTCCTTAATCATTCTGTTGAAACTTGAAAATTTGATGGAAATGCTGGACCTCGTTAATTCAAATATCAAATGCTACCACCTGTCAGGCTCTGGGCTGGATGCTGAGGATACCTTGGTGAACAAGTCAGACGTGGGCCCTCCCCTGCGCAGCTTAGAGAACAACGGTCATTAGCCCAAGAACCACACACGTGCAATATAGAAGTTCAAACTGAAAAATACGATGAAGATTGCGCTACATGGGCTAACGAGAGAGGGAGGCTCCCCGAGGATGTGATATTTGAGCTGAGATCTAAAACTGTGTTTCTCAAACTATGCAGAAGGGCTAGTTATTTCTCTTTGTTTTGATTTCCAACCCACTGAAACTAATACATGGTCTTACTGTGCATAGCTAGTCTGGAACTCCACGCTGTGTGCAACTTGTTTTTGGGGTTTGACATCAACCTATATAGGCTTGTACCCTGTTCAAGGAGATGTGCTTTGAGGTCTCAGCAGCATCAAATTCTATAGAAGTTTTCTATGCTTCTCTCAATTCCTCTTCTGGCCATGGAGCTCTGGGAAGTAGTTTGTGGACCTGAACCAGTCAGTAAATCACACTGAATAGTACTGATCTAAGGGAGGGAGTTGGAAGAGCTGGAAGAGCTGGGGAATGGGAGCACTGTTTGAGGCAGCGAGACCAGCATGTGCAAAGGCCCTGTGGTGAGAGACTGATGAATGAAGGTGGGGTTGGGGAGGGGGAAGAGAAGAGGAAAAATAGGGCAAAGCAGTTTATTTATAGTCAAAGGGGGGACAAAAGTCCAAAATAAGACTTGACAGGTAGTTAGAACTTTTATACTATATAAATTATTTTGATCTGTATTCTAAGAACAACACAAAGACAATGAACTTTGCTTTGAACAGATCCCTGTGTTTATGGAGTGTGTAAAAGTGTGCAGGGGCAAACCAGTTATAAGGCAAGACTTGAATGCAGGAGGACTGGGACAGCAGCAGTGGAGATGGAGAGAAGTGACAATGTCAAAAGATATTTAAAAGGTCAGCTATGAACGTGGTGGTGAGGAATGGTTTCTGGCTCTGGCTTGTGTAAGTGAGTGGATGGAGAGGTCAGTCACCGAGAGAGGGAACACTGGAGAAAGTCCAGGAAATACAGAGAGTTCAAGAATTCCATTTTGGGCACGTGGAGTTTGAGATGTCTTTGGGACTTACAAAAGGACACAGGCGTTGCTTTAATGAAGTCATGCGTTTGAAAGCTGTTAGCGGCACAGCCCACTCTGGACACGTATATTATCATGACGGCTTCCAATATTGCACCTTAACTTCTAACCTCAAACCAGAGCACACGTGTCTGTATTTTAATCACTTCTTTTTGTCCTGCAATCTTCCTTCTTACCTTTTTAAGAAGTGACACCATTTCCTGTGACCAGGCAGAAGGGTAAGTCACAAGAGCCGTCTCAAACAGGTGTGCAATTTCCTTGCTGGAAGTGCTGGAGCGAATATGATATGGTCTCTTAAAGGGGAAAAGAAGTGAAAAGAAATAAGAGGCTTCATTTTCATAGGGGAAAAGAAAAAAAATTGTGCTTTGCAAATGTTTCCAAGCTGGTTTTCAACCAGTAAAATCTCAATATCATTTTCATTTTTTTCTCAAAGAACTATTCAATTTATTTAAACAAAAACAGTTCAGCCATTCGTCCCACCTCCCATCCCACCCCTCACCACGTTTCTGGCAACCACCAATCTGTTCTTGTTATCTATGAGCTTGTATTGATGGATTGTCAATATTTTCAAATTCCTTTCAGTTGATTGTGGTATTTGTGTTGCCATATGCGAATGCGGTCCACTGTTTCCAGACTTCCTACTTTATAAAAAGGGTACCAGGGATCTATAGTTTCTTGTGAAATCTCAGAATTTTAAAAGTTGGTAATTCCTCTGGGTCAAAGGAAGCATTCCTGTGGGCTAAATCCACCCTGAGATGCCAATTTGGAACTTTTTTGTAAGGTAACTTATATAAGTATTCATATAAAATATTGGATTAATGCTCAGTAAATGGAACTTTTTAAAAAGTGTTATTTAACTGTTGTTTATAAACAGATCCAGAGTTTTACCATATACACTTTTTTACTAAGTTTGGGATCGAAGGGTACCCAGAAAACTTTAAACTCAATCCAAAATGCTATAAATTCTCAGTTCTATGGAGTAGGGTGGAGAATTTTATGATGAGGCAAAAGTATTTTTATTTCTGAGAGAACCAGGTTCTTCTTTTAATTTTGGAGAAAAAGCAAAAAACAAACTGGTGGCTTTGTTATAGTTTTCACAGACATCCACTAGAGGGCAGCCTTTACCTATGTTAATTTGTATTTTCCTAAAGTACTCGCATTGGGATTGGCTCTCTGTATATGAACTGTGAACACAGTGCCACAGATTATTCCATACATTTTTGCCTGTGGGACCTAGCACCCAGTAAGCTCTCATTACGTGTTTGTTGAATGAACAAAATTTTAATATTAGATTAACCAACAATAAGACAGTTAACATGGATATGAGCATTTATCAAGAGCCTGGTTCTTTCAAGATATTTAATAAATGATTGTGGACCCATGAACTAAATTGGAAGAAATGGAGGAGTTACATTTTTTCCCTTGTTGTAAATCAGTATTAAAAGGTGATATAATGTAATTAAGTGTTTGAGCTCTGGAGGCAAAAGACTGAGTGCTAAGCTGGGCCACTCCATTTGGTTTTTTGTTTGTTATCATTTTATTTTCTTTTTTCATTGAAATATAGTCAGTTTACAATGTTGTGTCAGTTTTTGATGTACAGCATAATGTTTCAGTCATACATATATGTACATATATTATTTTTCATTATAAGTTACTAACAAGATATTGAATATAGTTCCCTATGCTATACAGTAGAAATTTGGTGTTTATTTAATTTATATATAGTAGTTAGTATCTGAAAATCTCAAACTCTCAATTTATCTCTTCCCACTTCCTTTCCCCCTGGTAACCATAAGTTTACTATGTCTGTGGGTCTGTTTCTGTTTTGTAGATGAGTTCATGAGTGTCTTCTTTTTTTAGATTCCACATATAAGTGATATCATATGATATTTTTCTTTCTGGTATTTCTTCACTTAGAATGCTGGGTCACTCAGTGTGAGTTTCAGTTCCTCCATCTGTAAGATGAAGCTACTTCATCTGTAAAAATAAACTGCCTTAGGAGATTATTGGGAAAATTAATGACACAATACATGTACAATTCTCAGTAGAGTGGCTAATATACTGGAGAGATTTTTATCATTATTGACAGAAGGGTAAAAATGATGGTGGATATAAATGTAAATAGCGAACAGCAAGATGAGTCATGAGTCAGGCTGATGTGAAGGAAGGCTTAACTCTGCACATAGTATGGCGGCAGCAGCTGCTCAGGGAACCAGGAAGTGCGAGAGGCTGACTCCCGAAAAAGGAGACTGGCCAAATTTCATTATTTTATGCAAGGTCTAAAATCACTCACCATATATTTACTTCCTACAAGACCGAACGAAGGACCATAGTTAATTCATTTGTCTCAGTAACGATACAGGAGAAGTAACCCTCATAACTCGGCGTCCTAGGTGCACTGTCAGCATCCGCAGTGTTACTGACTGTTAGCTGGCTGAAGGGCGCCGTGGGTCACCACGTGTGGTTCACTGCGTGTTTACCATTAAGAGCTGGGGCCGGTCTGGCACACTCAAGCTTCTGAGGTTATAGGCGAGGGCACACATTTTTTTTCTTTTTTTCAAATTTACTTCTTTAATTCCCAGATGTTTCTAAACCTGCCTCTGAGACATCTAAAAACACAAAATGCTTTGATAAACCACTAAATGAACTAATGAATGCCACAAGCAAATGGCTTCAGCATGTTGTATTTTTTTTCATTTACTTTAGAAGGCCATATGACTGAATTTAAATATACATTTTAAATCCTCATGGTCTGTCAACTTGCTAAAAAATAGTCAAATTGCCTTTGTCCTGTGCAATAACTTATTTTTCTAGTTCTAAAATTTAAAATCTATGTTAAGTCATCTACAACCACAACTGTATATTTGTTCATTTACTGAATATTTATGGAATGCCTGCGACGGTCCAGTACCTCTGCTTGGCACTGAGGATGCAATGACGATAAGAGAGATGGAGCTTCTACACTGGTAGCACCTATAGTTCACTCAGTGAGACCGTGAATAGTTACAGAGACTGGACACGGACACACACACGCACGCATGGACTACATGCTATAAAGAAAAACCACAGTGTGCAGTGACAGGATATATCAAATAATTCTAGGGCAGTGTGTACATGAAGAATGAGAATATAAAGAATAAACAAGGTGGAAAAAGTAAAATGTTAGCCAGGACAAAGTGAGGTGTTGTGGTAACAGCCTTATTTCAGGGGTACAGAAGCAAAAGAGTTGCACCTAAAGGTGTACAATTAGTGCAAAACGACATGTACCTATCAGAAGCTAATATGGATAATACAGAACTAGAGACGATGTGGACCTTGCCTTTACAGTGGCGATGAGTGCTGGGACAAGAGGGATGACAGCAGTGTCAGGGCTAAGGGACCCATTCATCAAGACCACGGCCAAGCTCAGAGACCACAGGGATGTTCCAGGCACATTTCCCTTGGAAGCATACATTTTTCCGTAAATTAACAATTTGTAAATGTGGAGGCAATTACTGTTTAGCACCCTTCTTCTGTAGTTTAGTTGTGCTGATGGTTGTAACTAAATACCTGCATTTCATTTCTTCTGACTGGCTATATTTTGAAACATAATTATGTGCAGCCTCGCTGGTGAGTTGTTGCTGGAATGTGTCAGAATTGATTTGCAGTGACTTGCTCCTCCATACTTTAAACCTGTATCTGTTAGGTACCCATTTAAAGTTAAATACTGTGGCTGATACTCAACTATATAAAACACTTGCTTCACCTTTAATAAATGCACAGTCTAGTAATACAAAGGAGAGAAAAACTTAAAAATTGATATACCTGGAAGAATTTACAAGGGTAATACATTTGCGAAATGGATTTAATCCTAAAAAATAAAATAGATTTAGGTATTCGATGTAGAAAGTTCTACATTTTATCTTAAGCGAAAAAGAAATCACAACAGAAAGGTAAAGCACACGTCTATTTTTTTCTAAAACAACAACAATAATACTATATATGTGCGTGTATGTGAAAATAGATATTCTCATAAAACAGAAGAGGTTCAGAAGTGAATACAGCAAGCTGTTCATTCTGGAATGATGAGACTGGAAGATCAAAGGAGGGATTTAATTTCTTTTTTTTTTTAAACACAGGTTTGTTTGTTTTTATTTGCAGGGGGAGGTAGCAAGGTCTACTTATTAATAATTTTTTTTTAATGGAGGTACTGGGGATTGAACCCAGGACCTCACACATGCTAAGCATGCACTCTACCACTTGAGCTATATCCTCCCCTGGGGTTTAATTTCTTAATTGAAAATTTTCTTTGCTTTAGAGGATATGGTTGATGTTGACCTTCATTTCCATGCTTTTCTATATTTCCCAATAATGTTAAATAAGGAAAGGTCTTAAGAGAGTGAAAGTACATAAATATTTGGAAGAGATACAGGTCACTTTAGCCAAGAGAGAGCAGAGAAAGTCTCTTTAGAGAAGGTGCTGTGTTATCCAATGCCATAAAGAACAGGGAGGGTTTGAGTCTGAGAAAGGCCCTTCCTGCAAAAGAAACTTGGGGTCATCTAAAAGTCTGTTTCTTCCTTAGAAATGATCAGTATCCATTAGACAGAAGGCTTCCGCAAAGCTCTACAATCAAGACACATCCTTAACTTTATTCAAACTCAACGGAGCAATTTCCAAACTTATTCAAAGAATGATTCAAAAAAAAAATAAAAGACCAGGGTTTATCTGGAAATACCTTTATAGGCAGAGGAACAAGAGGAGAGAAGCCCCTTGGGATGCCTTGAGAGAGGAGCAAGTGAGAGAGGCTGAAATGAGTTTGTCAGGAGTCAAGGTCATTCAGACTGAAGCAAAATCTGAAAAGTGAACCTGGTTCTAAAAGTCAAAGAATGCCAAGCTAAGGTATCTGAGGAGTGTGTGTAAGAATATGTGAGGCACTGGGGAGCGAAGCATTTTTTAAACATGAAAAGTTAGATCTGTGGTCTACAAAAAAGAATGTGCCCTTCCATGTTCACTGCAGCACTATTTACAACAAGCCAAGACACAGAAACGACCTAAATGTCCATCAACAGATGACTGGGCAAAGAAGACACACATATATACATATACACTTATATAGTACATGCTTACGTATTATATATGACATGTACATTTATACATAATATTATATGGATATATTGTAAGTGAATAATGGAATATTATATATAACATGTAACATATAATTTATATGAACAATGGAATATTATTCAGCCATAAGAAAAAAGGAAATCCTGCCATTTGCAACAAGATGAATGACCCTGAGGCCAATATGTGAAGTGAAATAAGTCAGACACAGGGAAGACAAATACTGCATGGTACCACTTCTATATGGAACCTTAAAAAAAGTGAAACTCAAAGAAGCAGAGAATAGAAAAGTGGTTGCCGGGGATTGGAGCTGGGGGAAATGCAAACACATTGGTAACAGGGCACAAACTTTCAGGTCTGAGATGAAGAAGGTCTGAGGATCTAAGTAGAACACAGTCATGGGAGTTGATAACGCTGAATTGATGAATGCATGTATAAATTCAGCAACCTAAGAGTAACTTTTCTTTACCTTTCCTAAGCAAAAGAAGAAAAGAAAAATGAATCTGACAAAGTTAACACGTTGTCAGTTACATCAAATCCCAGGGAACTACCATGGGGTCCAATAATATGGGAGGGAGAAAAAAAAAATTTCCTTCCAAAATTCTTCCCAGGCATTTTCTTAGTTTAAGAAGTGTTTCTTTTAAAAGGAAACTACTCTTACTTGCCGCTGAACCCAGAATCCAAGAGCCAAATGAAAGACAGGAATCCAAAAAGACAGGGCATGAATTGTGTTGTGTTAATAATTCACACTCGCCTTGGGGAAGTGTGTCTGAGTTAGAGTCCTGTACTGTGACTGCAAAATGATTTTCTTTAAACAAACAAATATATTTATACAGGATATGGGGGAGTGAGGTGTATTGATTTCCCCTCTCTGGGAGTTAATAATATCCCTATTGTTCATTTAATTTTATCTGCATAGTTTAATATCAACTCACATGTTTGGTCCCACATGTAGGAGGGTGAATTCATATGTGCAGAAATCCCAAAGGTGGTTACTAGCATCACTGGGCATTGCTGCTTTCCCCTCACAAACTACTTGATTTTTAGCCAAAAAAAATCCATTTTCATTCTAAAAATGGAACTTGCTGGAAAAGTAACCAAAGAGAAGTGTAACTACCGTACCCGGCCTCTGAGCAGCTCGTACGCCGTCACTCCCAGTGACCACCAGTCAACAGCAAAGGAATAGCCCGCTTCTCTGCTGGAGCTGAACATCTCAGGTGCTGAAAAACACCGAAAGGTTAGGTCAGTTTTACTCCCGGAGACATTAACAAATCCATCTTCCCAACATGCTCCTCCAAAGGCAAACTACCCAGGTAAAGGGTATAAACACTTTCATGAGTGTTTGTCATCCATTGCTAGATTGCTCACTGCAGTCCCAAATTCCTCAATTTTCTAATCTCTCTCATTCATCGACCAGCACACAGGCGCAGGCAGGCGCAGGACTTCGTGGGCGAATTCTTCTCTTACTCAGACCATGCCCCTGTTAAAAAGCTGGATCCCATCAGGCCTCAAAGGGGTGGCTGACGCTGAAAGCAAGAAAGCTGAGAAGAGTTATTGGTTGTCTTGATTGGGAAGGGTTGTGGTAAGGATATTAAGTTGTGTTACTGCTGCGAACGGTGTGCAGAATTTGTCTCAAACTACACGGCACTGGCTTTCCAACTCAGAGTCATCAGTAAGAGGCGAGGGCAGCATTTGCAGCCTGCAAGGGGGGGTGCGGGAGGGGAGTGGAGGAGCGGGAGCTCCCACAGGGAGAAGGTGTCACATGAGCGGTGGCACTTGTACACCTTGTACCCTAGTCTTTGAATTGACTAGAATGAACAGACAATACTGAATCAATCAAGCACTGGTTGCAAACCTTAGCTCTGAAACCAGGCTGTCTGGGTTTGAAACCTGCCTTCACCACTTATTGTGACCTTAAATAAGTCAGTGGGCTGAGCTGGAGAATCTCCATCAGCAAAATCAGAATAAGAAGAAAGTGATCTTTACCGAGGTGAGAAATTCAATGAGAAAACGCATGCCAACGTCTCAGCACACTACCTGGCCCCCAGAAAGAACTCAAAAAATGAGGCATTCTTCTAGAAAGGCGAACATCCTTAATAATGAGAATTTGACTTAGCCAAAAGCTGCACACTTGACCCAAGACCCTGACAGTAAGGTGATGGCTCTAGACAAAGGAAATTGGTGTGTTGTGGCACCTGTCTACAGGTTTGCCCTGCCCAGAGCGCTCGATTTCTAAGCAAAATCCTGTGGGAAACTTCCAATTAGAGAGGTAGAATGTTGACATCTCAATGCCTAGGACTGACCCTGGCTGTCAAAGCCCGCTGTAGCAGAACTGAGTAGGCTTCGTTCCTGGTGAATTCACCTTTCTGCATCACTACACTCTTCCTACAAGTCACAACTCCCCATGCAATTTGTGAGGTAACGGCCCTGACCCCATGGTACGCCCACAGGCTGGACGGCGTGGACTCTACTTCTGCTTTCCCTTATCAGGATCTCACACTAAGTCATCTTACATCGTCTCTCCAGGGGACAGATGACAGATAACTCAGAGAAGCTGCAGAGAACTTTGAGAGATAAATAGACATAGTGCTAAAAGAATACCTAACAGAATCAACATTACCCTATAAAAGCTGTGTATTCTCGTCTTGGACCATCCTTGGAGTTTATATGAGTATAATCCTCTTCTACTTACTCTGTATTCCAGCATGAAGATGCTTGAATATGTATTCATTCACTCAACAAATATTCATGGTGTGCAAGCTACATTTTTGAAGAACATTAAGAAAAAAATATGATGGCAACATACAAAAGCGTAACAGATGGGCAATTCTTTGAGCTCCCAAAGAGCTGAAAAGCCAGAGCAGGGGGATGCTGAGGGCTTCCATCAACCCTGCAGGAGGACCCTTTGCTCCTGAGACGGTACAAATAGAAGTGGAGAGGGTCTGAGTTGCCTTCAAAAAAGCCATTGAGTATTTTGTTTGGTTTTGAAAGCATTTCTATACCTACATTCAGAAAAGTAAATAAAACATAAAAGAAGAATTTAGCAAGCAGTTATAAGCAATTGGCCACGTAACCTTACATAGGTCATGACATAGAATCTTGACCCCACCAGTGAGTGACCTGTCCTATTGACAATGACAGAAGTAACCACTACCCTGAATTTATGTTAGTAATTTTCTCCTTGCCTTTCTACATAGATTTGCTATCTATGTATACATTTCTAAGCAATACTTTAGTTTTGCCTGTTTTAGTAACTAGGTTACATATATATTATGTATGTATGTATATGTAACATCTATGTATGTCTGTATATATAATAGATGTGTATGTAACATATATGTACATGTATTTATGTATATAACATGGGTATGTGTGTGTGAAATCTCACTCCTTGTTTTCTTTAGTGTCTTGCTTTTCTTGTTCAGCATTATGTGTATAAAAATCTATCTAACTCACTGTACATCGTTGGTTCACATTCAAAGTTACAGGAATACACTGTAATTTACCTACTTTTCCCACTGTTAATAGCCACTTAAGTAATTTTCAGTTTGGAGAATTTTGAACCACATTCTCACGAACATTTCTGCACGTGTAAGACCTCTCTAGCCCACACCTCTGTAGGGTACATTTCTGGGAGGGGGAACACAGGGGATGGGCTGTGCATGTCCATACATACTAGATAATGCCCAGTGATTTACTGAGGTGGTTGCACCAATTAACACTGTGACCAGCAATGCGTGGGACTTGGTTTTGCTCCACCTCCTTATCCCTACTTGGTATTAACCAACCTTTAGACTTGCTAGTCTAGTGACGTAATGATCTCTTGTGTTTAAATTAGCATTCTCCTGATTGCTGATAAGCTTGCCCACATTTTAATATGTTTCTTAGCTATTTAGATTTCCATCATTTGGTTTTCAGATTTTAAAACAACTGGACGGTAGATTCTGGTCAGGACATAAAAAAAAAGGGTCCAAAAACTAATAGAGAAGTGTAATACAATGGAAATAATTCCTGGAATTTACAAAAGTGATTCTAAATTTCATCCATAAAAATGTATGAATGAGAAAGGATTTCTTCAAAATAATAAAGGACTTGCATTCCATTTTTTAAACTCTATTATAAAGCTATAATAAATTAAGATTGGAAAGCCACATAATATAGATACTAGTTCATAAAAATACTTGGTTTATGAAGAACATATTTCAAATCAGCATGTTAAGGACCTTACTTGACACATGGTCGCAAAATAATTGTTTGATACTGTAACAACAATGAAATCAGATCCTTACCACATATCTTCAGTCAAGATAATATTAATAGCTGGATTAAGAAAAATTAAACTGTAACAATAAGAATATAGGTCACATATCTAAAATCTGGAGGTAAGAAGGTCTTGCTAAGAGTAGCATCAAAGGTAGAAACTATAAAGTAAAAAGACTAATGGTTTGATGTTAGGAACATAGTTCTTCATGTCAAAAATGCCAAAAAAAAGAACAACATCAACTAAAAAGTAGGAAATCATATTTACACAACATATATGATACATTAGAATTTAATATCCTTTATATCTAAAGGACAAGAATTATTTATGTAATCAATAAGAAATAGGAAAAGTGTATGAAGACCCCAATAGAAAAATGGGGAAAGAACAGGAACAGGCAATTTACAAAAGAACTGAAAAAATACAATTTTCATGTCGTAATGAGGTACCACCTTCACTTATCTTTTTGGGAAGATTGAGATATAATTGACAGTGCAGCCCTGGTGAGAATGCAAGGAAGTGGACATCCTCAGACACTTCCAGACCAAATGAGTAAAAATCCTTGCAAACTTGCAGGAGGGAAATGCATCAATGTATACATTCCCTTTGACCACTGAGGATTTATCACAGGAAACAAGTTGCAGTGCACATTTCTGCTAACAGGATTTTTTATTTCAAATTTATTTATATTTCAAAGTGAGAAACAACCTAACATTCAACAATCAAGAATTGGTTCAATAGATTTTAATGCAGCCTTCTAACTTGGGAGCATGTGATCATTCAAAATGATAGTTAATATGTGGGCCTGGAAAAATAAGTAGTGTCCGTTGTCAAGACCCGGGCTCTGGTGTCAGAGAGAAGCGGTTTGGGTTCTGGCTGAGACATGCTAATTGACAGGAGGCAGAGAGGCAGCACAGCGGAGTGATGAGAATTAGACTCTGACCTGCCTCACAGAAGGGCCTTTAGCTTAAACAATGTAACACGTGTACTCAGAGCAGTGCTTGGCCCACAGGAAGAGCTCAGTGAATGTTGCCATTATGCGCCCTGAGCCATTGTCATCACCCACTATCAAAGTTCCAGACTTGAGATGTTTTTACATTTGGATTTAACTTCGTGCTCTACCAGTTGCTTGCTGTGTGATTGTGACCATGTCACTTTCCCTGTAGGCCTGCTTGTTTTTTAATCTATGAATAATAGAATAATAGTAAAACCTATTTCATAGGGTTGCTCTGAGAATTTATTAAATTTATTAAAAACTTAGCAAAGTGCTTGGGACAGCAGATGCTCACTGTATGATGCCTATTATTATTTTTATTTTTGGCTTTTTTGGGGGGGTAATTAGGCTTATTTATTTATGTAATGAAGACATTGGGGATTAAACCCAGGACCTCGTGCACGCTAAGCACACAGTCTACCACTGAGCTATCCCCTCCCCCCCGATGCCTATTCTTATTGTTATTATTACATTATAAAGTGAAAATTTAGGTTGCCAAAATACAGTATAGGTGGGGGGCAGGGTATAGCTCAAGTGGTAGAGTGCATGCTTAGCATGCATGAGGTCCTGGGTTCAATCCACAGTACCTCCTCTAAGAATAAATAAATAAATAAATAAGCCTAATTACCTCCTCCCAACAACAACAACAACAACAAAAAATCCAGTATAATCTGACTTCTAAAAAATGTATATGTGTTTTTGTGTGTATAGAATAAAGCTCTTCCAGGAAACCATAAATATCTACAAGTAGAGAGATGACTTTCCCCTTCGCTTAGTGAGCATTTTACACATTTGTCCTAGTATATGTATTTGTTAGGTTTGGTTTCTAATTTGGAGAAGAATGTTTTCATTGGTTACGCTCTGAGCGATGTGGATAATATTCAGACAGACCAGGGGTAGGGAGAAGGAAGGACTGGAGTGTTTGGAAAGAGCGTGGAGGTAGAAGATTATGAATTAAAAAAAGC